CCCTAAATTACTAAACCCCTAAACCCCTATACCCCTAAACCCTAAACCCCTCAACCCTAAACCTTCAGCATTGAGGCTCTCGGAGCTTCCTCGCAAGCGCCTATGGGGGAATGCCCCCAGCCTGACGTTTGGTGCAGCGTGGGAAGCTTTCGTTGGGGGTTTAGAGTTTAGAGTTTAAGGTTTAGGGTCTAGGGTGTAGGGTTGGGGTTTAGGGTTTAGAGTTGATGGTTGAGGGTGTAGATTTTGTGCGTTTTGTTGTGGCTTTCATGCGGTTAATAAGGATTTGTACCGGGTGTTACATGGGTGTTATAGTGGGTCCTACAAGGGTCATCCAGATACATCCCAGTCACCCTGGTCCTGGGTCCTGAGGGCAAAATCGACACACTGAGTCCTTCAACAACATACCGGGAACACCCGAAACTCGGTTTGAACATGGCCACTGCATCCTTTCTATGGTTCCAGGAGTAAGTTCCTGAATTCAATACCACGAACGGCACAGGCTACACTGCCTACCTTAATCCCACCTCTTCAAGCCTTGAGTTGAAGATAGCCTTTGGAGGGTTCAGGATTCAGGCGTTTGTTCAGGGTTCAGGCGGGACGTGTACTGGGAAATCCTGAACTCTGGGGCCTTATCTTCACCTGTATCTGTAGCACTATGCCAGCCCAGGTCATCACCTACAGTTCGGCGATCAGTGCGTGTGGTCAAGGCGGTTTTGCTGCTCAGGGTACTTAGAGCACAAGAAGCAATCGTGGCCGCTCAATTCGGCTTCTTAAGTGGGTTTGTCTCGTTTGCGACTTAGCCAGCGCCTCCTAGTAGTGACAGTGGTGCTTGTCAGTAGCTTAGGTTGGAGGAGCGCAGGTCTTTGCAACAGTTGCAGCGGCAGAAGCAGTACTGTAGCAGCAATAGCAGAAGTAGTTGTTCTTCGTCATGGAAGTAGTAAGCGACGAACTGCCAAGAGTGGTAATACTACAGCTACTACTACTACTACTACTACTACGACGACGACGACGACGACGACGACGACAACTGCGACAACGACTGCGACGACGACCACGACTACCACGACGACGACGACGACGACTACTACTACTGCTGCTACTACTCCTCCTACTACTCCTGCTGCTACTACTACTACTACTACTACTACTACTACTACTACGCCTACGCCACTGCCAGAAGCACTAGCCCTCACTAGCACTACCGCCATCACCACGACGAGGACGAAGACGACGGCTACGACGACTACTAATACCACCACTATTACCACCGCACCACCACTTCTACTAAGAGTGTTGTCAGTACTTCGACTTCGTCACCCATTTTGCTTTTGCCGACAACGGCGACTACCACTAGCTTTGCGACTCACACTCGAGCTCCTTGCTGACATGCCCACACGAATTTCGATCAACCGGCCCGTGGAAAGAGGATCCTTCATCGAGAATGCGGAAATGTCGGAACTTGTGCTTGCGCAGGTCAACAATGGGAGTTGTCGCTACAACTCTTATCGGAGCTGAAGCATTGGGGCCTTCGGGTGAACATTGTCACGTGCAATGCCGCAATCAGCTGCTTGACGAGGCTTTATAGGTTCATGGTTTCGTTGCGATGTGTTGGTATTCATTGGTTTACACTCCGCAGCCGAACTGTGATGCTTCGCGCTTTTGGGATCTCGAAGCAGTTGGTTTCTTTTGCCGTGTAGGCTAAGGCTGTCCAAGAGCCTGTCGAGGATCAATGATCAATTCAGTGATCAGGTTAAGGTCTGGTATTGCAGGCTCTGAGGTTGGATTTGAGAAGTGTGATTGTTCCAAATCAGGACGTCAGTCTTCGACTTCAGCCGGAGGGTTGCATAGCTGGTAATCAACGCACCGTCGCTAAGCAATGCAACATTGGTGTAAGATCGGGAAGCCAACAGCAAACACCTATAGATATATGTGTAAAGAAAATTATCAAACGAATGAGCTAGTAAACATGACGTATAAACAAACAGGTTTTGTCATAGATGCAGGTATGCGCACACACTCACATGTGTGCATGTTTATATGTATGTGTATGTGTATATATATATATAAAGATATATATGATTACACGCACATACGTTTGTATGCATGCATGTATGTTTGTTTATACGTAGCTGACCGTAAGTGTGTGTATATACATATATATGTATCTTTACACATACTGCGGGGGGTCGAGTCAGGAAAACATGTGGGTCCCTTCAAACAAAGAGTTGATTTTCTGTCGCAGGTTGACAAAGTTAGTTCGGAAGCCTGAAATGAGTGTACTGTTGATGGACCACAAATTTGCATTATCCATGTGTAAGGTGCTTCAGCTAGTCCTAGTAGGTCCTAGATTCGGAACCACTGCAGAAAACAACAACTGGACCCTAAACCCTATGTGTTTGTCCATCAGGAGGTTTAAGGCCCCTAAACATGAAATCTTCTGCCCGCATCCCTAAACCCTAGTATCGACCCTAAACCTAGGGTGGGTCAGGGTTGAATCAAACCCTAAATCCCTAAACCCCTAAAACCCTAAACCCCTAAACACAAGTGGGTTTAGGATTTAGGGTTTAGGGTTTCGGGTTGAATCAAACCCTCAATCCCTAAACCCAGAAAACCCTAAACAAACCCTGAATCCCTAAACCCAGAAAACCCTAAACCCCTAAACACAAGCATCGAGTCTTCGAGCCTAAGCATCCAAACCCCTAATCCTAAACCCATGCCCTGAACCCTAAGCCCTAAACCCGGAATCTTAAGTCCTAAACCCCGAACCCTAAACCCTAAACCCGGAATCTTAAGTCCTAAACCCTGAACCCTAAACCCGAAAGCCTCAACCCCAAACCCGAATCCTAAGTCGAAATCCGGGCTCCTAGGTTCCTGTGAGCGAGGGCGGCAGTGGAAGCCTGCGCAGGAGCCTCTCTTTGATGAAATCTCTGGATGGATTCATGATTTGTCGATTTCGGGTTTAGGATTGGTGAGCTTAGTGTGTACACTTTGCACTTTTTGTTTTGAGAGTTTTGGACTTTGGGTTGGCTTAGGGCTTCGGGATTCCTGTTCTTCTTGATACCATAAGAGTGAGTTTTCAGGAGCTACAACTGAAAGTGCGCCGTTGTTTAAGAACCTTGGACCTTGTTGTAGGGCCAGTAGGCTTGTAAGGTCAATTCAGCTGCAAGGAGAAACTAGTTGCCCGTGTCTGTCACATACCGAGCATAGCCTGCTTGCGACCAAATCCTCCACTCATGGTAGTAAGCCCAAGCCCTAAACCCTAAACCCCTGAACCCCTGAACCCCTGAACCCCTGAACCCTAAACTCAAATCCAAAACCACAAGCCGAAAACAACACCGTATAACCCAAAAACCCTCCCCTGAAGCAGTCAAGCTCGCGCAAGCAAAATGGCTCGAAGAGCGGTCTATGCTTCAGCCATGCCCCCTTATAAGGGGTAGTATAGGGTTCTAAGGCAGGATTCCCTTTAAGGGGTAGTATAATATAGGGTTCTAAAATATGGTCCCCTTTCAAGGGTAGCATAGGGTTCTAAAATAGGGTCACCTTTGTAGGGTTTGAGACTGCCCGTGTCACAGGGTGCTTTACTTGCGCCTTTATGCTCAACACTGTAGTTCTTCAGCGCCCGAAATGAAGAAGTCACATCCCCAAGGCCCATGCCCACATCCTAGCCCCCGAAACCTTTAGCACCATGTCCAAACCCCGAATCGTTATGTAATACGAGTAGTAATGCTAATAATCTAAGCCTTGAGTCCTAAGCCGAAGCCCAAGAACCAAGCCTTCAACCCTAAACCCGAAACCCTAAACCCGAAACCCCTAAACCCCTAAACCCCTAAACCCCTAAACCCACAACCTGATGTCCCAGACCGTCAGCCCTTTTCCCCAAGTTCCTGAACCTGAAACTCGAGATCTCCAAGCCTACACCCTTAGCATCAAAATAGCCCAAAAGCCTTTTATAATAGGGTCTTTGGCCCAAAAAACCTTAAAATATGAGTCCCTCGATGGTAAGG